TATCTATCTATCTATCTATCTATCTATCTATCTATCTATCTATCTATTGATGCATAAATTATCCATACATGTAAAGGAAACTATAATAAAAAGAATGTTTCAATTCACACATTATCACCCGGATTAGTTTGAAAAGGACACCTCTTTAAATCCCTACCGTGAACTTTGACCGCTGCTTCAAGATCTCATAACCTAACAGAGTTGTAGCGATAGAGCTTTCTTCCCATATTTCCCTGTCCTTCTCTTCATCTTCCAGTGGGTTTGAAGCTTCATTCAACATGTCTGCTATGGGTCGTTTCCCAGTTTTAACTTTGACCGTCCATCCACAGGGTTCCTGTCGTCTCCCCAAATGATTCCTCTTTGGATAGAAGGGTTCCTGGTTTGTAAACAGGAGTTCACTGTGAACAGGAATGCCTCCTTTGGAACAGCTCTCTCTGCACCAGTCAACTGGAAGTGGGACGGGGACAAAGGGGACAGCCATCAGCGGTTTTCTGAAAAAAGGAGTGTTAACAGCCATATAAAAAATGAACCTGTATGAGCACAGAAAAACACACGGGCATTCTCAACGAGCGTAAAAGTCGACTTACACCAATTCAGGGCAAAGTGAGTGTGAAGAGCTGGGTAAAAGTACACCTGGGTCCCTTTGATCCAAGCTCATCTTTTTTGCCTGAGCTATGCTGGGATTGTGTCATTAAAAATCTTGCTGGCTCATCAAAAACAACCAAGGGAGTTGTGTGACACATGTAAGTCGTCATAATGTGAGAAACTCTGCTTCTCAAACGTGTCCCATTTACAGCAATAAGAGAGTCATGCGCTGCGGCACACCCCTTCTGCTATTCTGCCAAGATAAAAAAAGAGTTTCATTACACACCAATAGGATACAGACAAGTCAGCACCTCTAAACATTGGAAAGATTTGGAGTCATACTTTACCGGATTTATCATTAGAGTTGTTTAGTTCATGAACTTTATCAATTCAAAAGACAAACCTACCCAAAACATGCAAAGTCTTGAATAGCTAAAAACAATGTGTTTTTGTTATTTTCTGTGTGGCCACTGTGAATAGTTTGATGATAAAAGATTTGGCATTGTTCTCCACAAATGACAATGTAAAGATATATGCTTGGCCTCAGTGGAGCCTATTGCGCACAAATTGTTTTTGTGTTTGTTTTTGTACTGTCAGTGTTAACAATAATTATAGGATGTCCCCTTCAGATCTTTGTAAAGTTGATAAATATAAGGTATTTACTATCTTATTCCTTTTAGTTGAATTTATTCTACAAATACCTCAAATTAGATGTGAAATATATTTAAATCATTACCAAAAGCCTTACTTTTAGTATATTTTTGCCTGTTGATCAGTCATTCCATTGGACTTTTGTATTTAGTGGATTGTAATGCTACTCTTTTTTTTTAGGGGAACATCCAAAGATGTGCAACACGATTGTATAGCAAAGGCTCCACTTCTCATAATGTGTTTAAGTTCCACTAAATAAGATATGCGTAAAAATACTATTAACAGTAAATAAGCACTCAGATGACCAAATGAGTTTCTATTTTGACACTGACACGTGCAAAGGAAAGCCCCTGCTGTTTGGGAATTCCCAAATGTCAAAAATCCCGTCTTCGTGTTTGTGCAAAAGCAGGCGTGTCCTTCAACAAAATGTGGATTTATCGATTTTATTAAGGTTTTTAGATATTCAAATGGATAAAAAATTCGATTTCACCACTTTTTACACACCTATTAAGGCGTCTTATTTTAAAGCGTGCAATTGCCCCGAATCCAATATACGCGAACGCATCACGCAAACCCGGAAGTGTCGTCATTGGCAACAACAAACCACCTACCTAGCTTTAAAGCAGAGCTCCGCTGCGCGCTGTAATTGCCGTGCTTGAAATCAATCCGTGACGGAAGGTCGAGGCGTGCGGCGCATCACGAATTGACAGGAAAGTGAAAGCGTACAGCCTCAGTCCGTCTGTTCAGCAGAAAAAGGGGGGGAAACTGTGTTGTTTCCCCTGTCTCACTGGTCCCCCCTCGGCGCTAAAGAAACGTTAGCTCGGCTCGCCAATTGTCGCGACGTTAGGGAATGCGAATAAATGGGAGAACTGCTCCCGCATTTCTCGTAACAGCGCGGGCCGCTCTTCTCTCGGAGGCTGACCTACCGAACAAGCACAGGCTTCCCGTTAAAGACTGCCCATGGAGCCGCACGCGGGCGCGGCCTGTGTGAACATTGGCAGCCTGACCAGCACCTTGCCAGCCATTCCCTACCAGAAACTGACGGACCTGTACTACCTGAGCAGAGGGGGGTTTGGCACCGTCTTCAAGGCGCAGCACTCTGACTGGAGGACCACTGTGGCCATCAAGTGCCTGAAGCTCGACTCTGTCGGAGAGAGGTACCTTCGTCAATCTGTCAGTCTAGGCCGGCTATTTATATATAGACATTGTAACCACTGTAAAGGTAACAATGGCTTCGGTGCTTTATAGGCAAAGGTACTATTTTAAGCAATAACTCGCCATCAAAACATAAACAAAACTCATGTCTGGCTGAGTTAAACGACAGGCCTTTATAAGTTTACATGTGGAACAGATGTTGTTGGGGTGTTTGTGTACCAGCTGGGGCCCAGGTTGAGGGCGGTTGCTCAGAGTGAACACATTCAGACCAGATCTGCCCCGTGATTAAAAACGATACTGTTCCTTCTGAGTATCACATAACTATTCCACACTCCCATCTCAGGATAGGATATCAGAGCTGACTATTCTGGCTTCAGAATGTTTCCTGTTACATTGTGTTATCAAAGAACACTCCCATAAAAACTGGATTACTCATTCTTGGGAAGTTAAAAGAATCAGATGATACATAGCTTGTGATTTGTTGACTAGTTTTTCCTTATTAGAGAGGGATCATTTTAAAAATCCAACCATTTAACTGTTGCATTTTCATTTAATCTGATCTTCTCTCTTTGGCAGAGATGTAGATTCCTCAAAATATTATACTGTGCACATCTTTGTAAGGTCTCTGAGCAAGCAAGATCACTAGTTTTACATTCTTAAACAATTCAAATTGTATTGGTTGTATAAAGCACATTCGTTTTTTTTATCAGGATCTTGAGCATATTTACAATGTCAGGCTTTATGATCCAAGTATTTGATAAAGCGTCTCTTTTCCCGGCCACCAAAACATGTCATCACATGTCATGTTATTCCAGTCTACTGACAACTATTAACTGACTTATCTCCCTTATCTCCTGTGTTTCAGAGAGAGGAATTGTCTTCTCAAGGAAGCGGAGGTGCTGCACAAAGCCAGATTTAACTACATCATCCAGATCTTTGGCATCTGCAACGAGCCTGAGTTTTTCTGCATCGTCACAGAGTTTATGAGCAATGGCTCCCTGGACCTGTTGCTTCATGAGGTAGCTGCTTTTCAACAAGTATCGTTGTATTGTAAAGAATCGGTGGTCCTGTTCTTCCAGTTTTCAAAATATATACTGTATATATTGAGTGAAGGGAAAAGTTCCACTTTTCTCAGTGTATTTCAACCTTTTTTTATTTTCATTTTCTCCAAATGGTTGGAGTGAAGGAGTTTCTTTTTTTGGTGTCTCTTTTTACTCGTTCACTGTGGTTTTCCTGTCAGTGACACAGAAAATAAAAGCAAAACCTTACAGCTTTCCAACTCTGGTGAAACTTTGAATCAGGCTAGAGATAGTTCCTATGCAGATTATCTTAATTTATGCCTTCAATGCCTTGTTTGTGGTCTCTGCCCGCAGAAGGACATGTACCCTGTTCTTGCCTGGCCTTTGCGTCTGAGGATCCTGTATGAAATAGCTCTGGGGGTCAACTTCCTGCATAACATGACCCCACCTCTGTTACATCACGACCTGAAGACGCAGAACATTCTGTTGGACGGAGAATTTCATGTCAAGGTACGTTCCTACGTTGTTGTGACCGAGACATATTTCCACAAGAGCTTCTCAGTGTGTCTCCGATTTTCTGAATCAACTGAATCAACACACGTGCCATTTGTTTTTGTTTTCAAATGTGACTTTAGGAGGAGATGAACAATCATAAACAACCTGTTTATTTCTTGTTTGCTTAGGTCTAATTGTAGCATAGGTTTTTTCAAAGAAACACTAAATCCTAATTGTTCTTCCCCCCGTTTTCACACCCCTGGTCTTGCATACGTGCTGTTTGTGGGAAATCCGCTGGAGTCTTGACTTGAACAGATCCATTCAAATCTTTTTTGCAAGTCTGGCCAAGGAAACCCACCTAGTTCCGTCCGTCCTGAGCATCCATGTGCGAAGATGGAAGATAGACAATGTTTCCAACTGCCAGCTTTTCCTGTCTTGCCAACAGTTTGTTTTTTCCTTCCTCCAGATTGCAGACTTTGGTCTGTCAAAGTGGCGGCAGCTCTCTGTCAGTAAAGGCTCGGGGTCGAAGCCCACAGAGATGGAGGGCACTGTCATCTACATGCCCCCCGAGGAGTACGAACCCTCCAAGAGCCGTCGGGCGGATGTAAAACATGACATGTACAGGTGAGGCATTAAATCGTCTGTGAAAATTAGCCCCTTCTCCAATCCGATCATGTAAATGTGAGTTTCAATTAGTTTGAGGCCGATTTTGTGGCTAAACTTACACGAGTAAACTCTGAGTTTGGTTTTTAAACATTAACATAAGCTTTGTTGGTTGAGCTTAATCAGAGTTGCAGTTGAGGATTTATCAGGCAAGGTGAGACAAAAAAAAACACATAGGTCAGATTGTCAGCATACCAAGTTCTGATCCTCCAATGGCAGTCAGTCAGTCCAAAAACTGTGCAAATCCCACCTAGATGTTGTCTCTTCTGTTTTTTTTTTTCAATGGATTGCTGCAAGCAGTCATGATGTCTTCATAGTTCCCCAAAGAGGAATGCCTGATCAGCTCAGTTTTTAGTCCTAAAACCCCCCTTGTTCTAAAGGAGAGTACAGATTTTAAATGATCTAATTTCCTCTATCTTTTTCTGTCCCCAATATCTCGTAGCTATGCCATCATCATGTGGGAGGTCCTGTCCAGGCAGATACCATTTGAAGGTAAGTCATCTATTTTCATGTTTTTTTTTTTAACCCTAAAAATCTTTGTCATCAGATTTTTATCTATAATACGTATGCGTTTGCGTGTCCAGAGGTGACCAATCCCATGCAGATCATGTTCAGTGTGCTGCGCGGCAAGCGGCCCGACACAAGCCAGGACAGCCTGTCCGCCGACATCCCCGGCCGAGACACACTCATCAACCTAATGACCTCAGGCTGGACTTCTAACCCAGATGAGCGGCCCTCCTTCCTCAGTAAGCTTGTAGACCTAATATCGCTAAAACATTTTCACACTAACGGGAAACGAATGCAAATCATATTTGAACTTATTTATCCAAAAACTAAACCAGTTATAAAAAAAAAAAAAAAACTCTGTCTTGTCTTATGTTGCTCTGATTTCAGAGTGTTTGATCGAGCTGGAGCCAATGGTGAGGAGGTTTGATGAAATCGACTTCCTGGAGGCTGTGCTGGAGATCAAGAAGGCAAAGGTCAGTCAACTATGACACATCCAAGTGATCCTTTTTTTTTTTCATGAGGCTGCATTTTCTTTCTTTTGCTGTAACCATCATATTTGCTCCTTCCCGTATCCATCAAAACAACTCGAGCTCTTTTGAAATCCGCTGCTTTATTATAAAATAGCCTCTAACAACTGGGAATTGAACTTGAAGTGGAATCAGGGGGGCATAACCTATTATGATTTGGCTGATACAGCCTACATGTAGTAGGGTTTTTTTGTTTGTTTGTTTTTGTTGGCAAAACCACACACAGATCGCGCACATGTTGTTAAAACCGATGCCGAGTGATGTCTTTCTCCGAACAATTGGGAATTAGATCATAGAACTATGTGTAATTTGGGACAGTTTGCATTCTACCATGACAGGATTTCCCCTTACTGCACCCTTCCCCTTTTCAGTTTCGCTGAGTCGATGCATGAATGAGGTTGCAGTTTACATGTTAGATCATAGCCTGGCTCTAGCCAAAGTTATCTATCTGAAAAATATATGTAGTCAGTGGTTTAGTCATTTTTTTAATAACTGAAGCATGGCTTCAAAATCATGAAATAAATGTTTTTAGGAAAGCATTTAATCATGCGAAACTATTTGAAAGAACCTGACAACACGATATATATTATTTAAACATATGAACTATTGTTTGATTGAGATAAATAGTCAATGGGTAAAGTATTGGAACAACAAACAAGATATTGAATATTAATTATACATTTTATGGTTTCTACCTTTTGAAATCCCCCTAACCCAAATCTCAAGTTTAATGAAACTTGATGATATTTGTTTAGTTTTATAAAAAAAATTAGACACATGGTGTGCCACTGAGGATTTTTTGCTTTCAAGCTGAGAAGCCTAGCCCTCAGTTTAAAAGGTTCAATGGGACAGCTCTGATTTTCTCTTTCATTCCTGACAACTGCCTCTGTCTGAGCCTTTGTTTTGTGCCATGAGAAGTTAGCACAAGCTTAGAGGGAGGTGGAAAGAGGGGGATTTAACCATTATAGTTGGGTTTGAAATACTTCTGCTGTATAAGCTACATCTCTTTGTTTCCACATAGAGGAGGGCTTGCTTTTTTTAGCCTGTATCCCTCCGTCTGTTGGGGTCTTATTTTTGTTTCCCCCTTTCGCAGCTGATGCGGAGCACAGGCTGCTGTTCGACCCAGCCCATGTGCGAGAAGAGCAACGCTGGGGGGTCTCTGAACATGCTGAAGGAGCGACCTAACCTGTGGCCTGTCAGTACACACTCATTCTAACCTACATCTGAAAGATAAAAAGCGAGGGAGGGGAAAAAATGTTTTTAAATCTAATAAGCTAATATTTAAAAATGGGTGATTGTATTGATCAGGGAATTATTTTGGCTGCTTTATAATACAAATTCTTGACTGCTTTTCCATTTTAATTTATAAGGAACAAAAGTAAAATGTCTTTAAATTACTGTATTTATTCTGCGAGAAGGTATAATTTAACCTAGTAAGACATAAGATATCTAAACAGAAATCAGTGTATGTACACAGGCCAATGAATGATGTTATCGATTATCTTGTGGAATTTGTCAACTTTCGCAATCCTGTATGTTTCTTGTGTGCTTTAAATACCGGCCAACACCCTTAATAGTACAGAGAAGGTAGAAGGACAAAAAAAAAAAAAAAGAAATATTTCAATAGAAATATTGATACATAATGTGGTGTTTTGTGTAATCACCCCAGTCACCGGAGTTAAAGGTTATAAGCAACAAAAGGGGATAGGACACTTATTAAGCTTCAAAGAGCCCAAGTGGCCCAGACAGCAGAGGCCGGCACAGGCATCGGGAAAGCCACATCCACTAAGGCTATCTCACATATTAATGCTGCTCCTAAGCTGGCGCTTGGTGCTCGCTGTGGATGTTCAGCTCAAGTTTTAATGTCAAGAGCACGGCAGTCTTATTTCCACACACCCCGACGGATATGGGATCAGTGGGCCGGCGTGAAAGCGAACAGCACATGAGCCTGGTCTCCCTGTAGGTGAAGATATGAACCTCTAGCTCTATAAAGCTCCACGTTAGTAGTTTTGCATTCAGCTGCAGAGCAATTCTTTCCTTTTTTTTGTTTTCTTGCTATACTTAACAAAAATAGTGGCGACATCCTCAGTAGCTCCCATGAATATGTTGAATTTTAGTGTCTGAGCTACTCTTCCACTATCAAAAATGGGGCATGTTGATTAAGGTCACATCTTTTATTTCTTTTCTTTTTTTGTGTGTGTGTGTGTGTATTTGTTGTCACATATTCACTTTGGTAAAGTCTATTGGCACTGCACAGCACCAGGAAAGAGGAAGACATCTGCCTGTCTTCTACACACTGGAAACGGAGGGTTAGACATGGCAGAAAACCCCTTTTTTATGCATTTGTGATGAAGAGACATGTGCGGGACACTGAATTTCTCTCAAACTGATCATTTTGATTCCGGGAGCATTGTCATCAGTTTTTTTTTCTATTTTGTGTGAGAGGAAATGTAAACGGATTCTTTCTGTTTGCTCTGCCACAGGAGAGCTCCCCATCAGGTTCTGGCTCTGAGTCCTGCTCTTCCCAGGACACAGATATATCTCTCCCGGGCTTCCTCACCATCAGCAACGCTCCTCCATCCTTATGTAAGCACACTTATCTTCCCACACCATTACAAAGTACAAAGTTATGGGAGTTGGTTTATTTGGTCAGTAGGTGAATATATAAGGCCAAATTCAAAGTTTTATGTCCGTCTCAAACTTCTTCTTTTTGATGTAGCGGGCCCTCCAGCATCATTTATAGCTCCTAGTCTGGAGCCTCCGGAGTCCCTGAAGGACAACTGCAACAATCTGAACAGCTTCCAGGCTGTCAAACCCCAGAAGGATTTAAACATACCCCTGAAACCTGTCCTGCCCGCCACAGAGTTCGAAACGCAGTTGAATAATCTCACCCTGAAGCCACAGCCACTGCAGCAAGGTAGACTCCGTTTTTATCCTCAATATCAGTCTGTTGCTTTTACTGTGATTTCTTACTCATCACTTTGTTTAGTTTTTTTCAAACAAATTTTTGGGGGATTTATTCTCAAAGGAGTCCTATCCTATTTCAACAAGTTAACCTAGTTCCCTGGTGTCCTAATGTAATGTCTGTGACAAGCTTTGGTCAAAATACCATAAGGATGAAGCACAATTGCATTTCAATCACCCTGCCAAAACAGCCCTGTTCAGAGCGCTCGGTTTTGAGTGCCTGTCTCTTTAAATGCAAATGAGACACAGGCAATCCACCCAAATCTTCTGGAAGGTGTGCCGACGTCGGCACGCTAAAGCTACCATGCTCACGCTCATGCTACCGCAATGTCTGCCACAGATAGGCGGAGTAAGCTGAGGTGGGTGGCAACATGAAGGGGAATGGCTGGAATATTATGAGGTAGAGCTAATGACGTCAGAAACTACCGATTCCTAAAACTGCCTGATTTATCTCCTGTATTGAGACTGAGACAGCCCACAAAAACATGACTGAGTCATTTTCTTTTCACACTTTGCCTGCTAATAGGCCCTCCACAGTCCCAAATGTACATAATCAAATGATTAAAAACTTAGTTTCGCATAATATGTCCCCTTTAATATATTTTCCCTCTAAAATTCAAATTGCTCCTCCCTCCTTGCAGCTGAGTGCTCTCCTCCTTTGCCGCGCTCTTCCGCATCACAAGGCCCCATCGGCCTCTGGATCTCAGCGAAGCGGGAGGAGATCACCTCCCAGATGACGGAGGCCTGCCTGAACCAGAGCCTGGACGCCCTGCTGGCCCGCTCCATGCTGATGCGGGAGGATTACGAACTGGTGATCAACCAGACCACGCGCACCGCCCGGGTCCGCCAGCTGCTCGACAACTGTCACCGGCACGACGAGGACTTCTGCCGCGTGGTCGTGCAGAAGCTGCTGGACAACCGGCAGATGAGGCTGCAGCCGTACCCGCCCGGCGTCTGTTCCCCCACCGCCACCGCCGCCGTCCCCAGCGCACCGCCCCTGTCCATGGCCAGCAGCGGCCACAGGAGCAACAGCGAGAACTGCCCGCATTACTGACTGTGCCGACTTCAAGCCACGGCGTAGAACCGCTGCAACTCTTAGCTCGTCATTAAAAGGTCACTGTGGTCTCGGAAACCCTTCACCAGAGCTGGTTGAGCAATAAGAATAACAGGTACTAGATGTATTATCCACTCACTAAAGAGTAAAGATTTTTTATTTTGTATAATCAACGTCAAAAAAGGTTTAACCGGGATTCGGGGTTTTATTTAAAGCGTTGTGGATTTTAATACTTATTTATTTTCCCTTCAATCATTTTCAGGATTTCATTAATACCATTTCCCCCTGACATCCATGCTCTTCCCTTTTTTTGGATTTTTTTTTTTTTATGTGTGTGTGTGTGCCCTCAAATATGGAACAGGAACCTCCTTGTTAAGATTTATATTTCTATCTAAAAGTGGGAGACTAGCAGCACTGTTCACCGCTGTGACAGCAGCTTTTGATCATGGTCACTGCCAGTTTGTCCAACACAGCAGCCGAGCCTGCCTAGCAAGCACAAGACCCGCATTTACGGCGGTCAGAGGCGAACAGCGAAGTGTTATTTAAAAGCGTGTCCTCGGATGTGAAATGCTGTCCCGTAGTCCAGCTGCAGTTCCTGAAAGACTCAGCCGCAGCTCCGCTTTCAATCGCAGAGCTTAGGACGGCCGCCAGAGAAAAGAGGACGCCGAGATTGTAATACAACACCCAGAATGAGTGGGCGACGCCTGAGCGTGCCCCGGGAACAGTTATATATTTTTGTATGCGTGTCAGGGTTAAAAGTGGACCAGGATGAAAGGCTGAGTGCATTTCCCTCGATCCTCGGTGGCCTCTCCTCTCGGCGTTCTTAAGTATGTCCACTAACAAAAACTTCCCGCTCGTCTGGACGCTTGCAGAGTCGCCTTTCTTCCAGAAACTCTGAGCTTCAGAATCATTTCGCCATTTTACCGAGCAGCCAGCTCACACCATACAGCCAATACTAACTGATACTCCATTCAGTTTGCTGCCATTCGACTTTATTTCTACTGTAGCCATCTGCTTTAAGCGGCAGATTGTAAATAGATCTTTCTGTCTATAGGACGGTGATTGGTAACAATTAAGCGGCATGTTACTGTTAAATACTCATACTCGTCTTGATGGTAGCACCAGTTCAGTTAACGTTTCTTTGCTCCATTAGTACATATTAAAGTATATGCAGTATATTCTCTCTTCCAAAGCCAATAGCAGGCAGCCACCTGTTGTTTCCATGGTATTGTTGGTCGTGTGCACGTGCAGTGGAGCTTTTGATCACTTTGATCATCATTTTTAGGCAGGGTGGGTGTTTTGTTGAATCCAAACTTGACATCTTTAATTATTTACCTGCTCGTTATTTCACATTTCTCTGAGCAGCGCTCGAAATCCAAAGACACAAAGTCGGAAACTGTCGCATTGGTTTTGCTAACTGGTAGTTCGGTGAGCTGACTAATATGTTTCAGCCCTGGTATTTATTTTCTGTGTAAATGTGTGTGCTTATGACGTTTTGGCCGGCCTTACTGCCACAATTGTTGCCTCGTACTTCCTCCAATGGATACATGGGTACATTCAGAGAATTGTAACTGTTGAATTTGACGTCATGTGCCATCCTTTATATCATATTTGCTGTGTAGAAGTGAGGGAGGGGGGTCAGCTAATGCTATGTGTCGCCACCCATACAGGGAAATGAGCCATGGCTGGTCACTTTTAGTCCCTCTCTAAAGTCATTTAACTGACATACGGAAATGCCTCCACGTTCACCTTGATTTGAAATCTGTGCCACATACTCTGCTTTTCGTTTTTGGTCCCAAAATCGACTATCGTGCGAAAGCCTTCTTTCTACACACATATCAAGCAAATTTGAGTAAAATGCTACAAATCTGACAGCCTAGAAATGCTGTACCATATTTTGTACTGTAGTAGTTAGTTGGAATTTTTATATGGCGTCTTGTTAAGTACTCATGTACTGTTTTTGTTGATCTGGGAATGAAAACGCCTTCAGCCAAACTGTTAAAATGAATCATTGTCAGTGGTAAGTTAGGCAAAGTGTAATGAGGAGTCATGGAAAGTTCATTTGAAGAGCAGCTGCCGTTTCAACTGAAATAGTTTTTTTTTTTTTTTTTTTCAAATGTCGTATGGCCTCGTTCAATAAAATGGATACTCGGTTTTTACCTCTGACATCTTTTGTGTTGATTTATTTATGGAACACAGGGTGTTGCAAAGGGTTGAGCATGAGGGACTCAACACATACAGGGACAGGCTACATTAATATGAATATGGCATTAGTTTCACAGTGAGCTACACACAAGCTTTTTCAAAATGTCCATATTTTAGCAGATGCTTTTATGCAAAGGAACTGACAGGAATACAAACTGTAGATAAATCTAAACAACTTTAATGTTCAGTGTTTTGACTACGGACACATAGCCACTGACCTTTACCCTGTGCTTCAGTCCTTTTTTAAAACACTAAAAAGAAAGGTTTCCAGCAAATATTACTAAATAGTAAAGTGAGATCTTAACTGCCTTTGATGTTTGTTTGTTTGTTTTTTAAACTTTGTCACAAGTGTTTCTTCCAGAAAGTGATCATGCATCGCTGCATACATACCCACTATAATATTTTACAGACCAGATGGGACTTGAATGTCTAGAGTACTTATCCCAATACAGTTAATTTAAGTTTTTTGTCTGTACAACGATAAATTCAGCCCAAATCCATTTCATAGTAATCCAATTCTATTCCAATCAAACAACAGGCTAAAACACCTGTACCAATTTAAATAGGGACGGGTCTGAGGTGCTCACCTGACCAAAAAAACAGCCAGTCATGGGAGGGCTTCCGAGTCCAAACAATTGTCTTGTAGGACTGTGTTCAGGAATCCATTGAGATAAATTCAACTATCATCATCTACAAAGGGTTTCTTTACCCAATCCTCTTACTGATGGTCTCCAATCACCAGGGTAGAATGTGTAAAATATGCAAAACAGAATTGAACAACTCCAATAAATGCCAGTTATTGGACAATTGGCACTTGAACACTCTTGAACTATTATGATGTTTAGGTTTGAAAAGTAGCAAAGCGTCCAACCCCTCTCAAGAAGGCTGGTTCCAGAGCCAGAGCTGTGTGTCGAGGCGAGACCGACGATGTCCAGCCGGAATCTCTCCGCCTCGCACACTAACTCAGGCTCCTTCTCCGCCAGAGAGGTGACGTTCCACGTCCCTAGAGCCAGCTTCTGCAGCCGGGGATCAGGAAGGTCTGGGAAGGTCTATTCAGCGGTTCTGGAGAGGAGGGTCCGTCGGATAGTCGAGCCTCGGATCGAGGAGGAGCAGGGTGGTTTTCGTCCTGGCCGTGGAACGCTGGACCAGCTCTATACCCTCAGCGGGGTCCTAGAGGGTGCATGGGAGTTCGCTCAACCAGTCCACATGTGTTTTGTGGACTTGGAGAAGGCGTTCGACCGTGTCCCTCGGGGTATCCTGTGGGGGGTGCTCCGGGAGTATGGGGTACCTGGCCCCTTGTTACGGGCTGTTCGGTCCCTGTACGACCGGAGTCAGAGTCTGGTTCGCATTGCCGGTAGTAAGTCGGACTCGTTTCCGGTGGGAGTTGGACTCCGCCAAGGTTGCCCTATGTCTCCGGTCCTGTTCATAACTTTTATGGACAGGATTTCTAGGCGCAGCCGAGGTGTTGAGGGTGTCAGTCTTGGTGGCCTTAGGGTCGCATCTCTGCTTTTTGCAGATGATGTGGTCCTATTGGCTCCATCAAGTCGGGACCTACAGCTCTCACTGGAGCGGTTTGCAGCCGAGTGCGAAGCGGCTGGGATGAGGATCAGTGCCTCCAAGTCCGAGACCATGGTCTCTCACCGGAAAAGGGTAGAGTGCCTTCTCCGGGTCGGAGCGGACGTCCTTCCCCAAGTGGAGGAGTTCAAGTATCTCGGGGTCTTGTTTGCGAATGGGGGTAGGGAGCGTGAGATCGATAGGCGGATCGGTGCGGCGTCTGCAGTAATGCGGGCGCTGTACCGGTCTGTCGTGATGAAGAGAGAGCTGAGCCTAAAGGCGAAGCTCTCAATTTATCGGTCGATCTACGTTCCCACCCTCGTCTATGGTCACGAGCTTTGGGTAGTGACCGAAAGAACGAGATCGCGGATACAAGCGGCCGAAATGAGTTTCCTCCGCAGGGTGGCTGGGCTCTCCCTTAGAGATAGGGTGAGAAGCTCGGCCATCCGGGAGGGGCTCGGAGTAGAGCCGCTGCTCCTCCACGTGGAGAGGAGCCAGTTGAGGTGGCTCGGGCATCTGATCAGGATGCCTCCTGGTCGCCTCCCTGGGGAGGTGTTCCGGGCTCGTCCCATCGGGAGAAGGCCCAGAGGAAGACCCAGGACCCGCTGGAGGGACTATGTGTCCCGGCTGGCCTGAGAACGCCTCGGGATCCCCCCGGAGGAGCTGGCCGAAGTGGCCGGGGAGAGGGAAGTCTGGATTTCCCTGCTCCGGCTGCTGCCCCCGCGACCCGACCCCGGATAAGCGGAGGAGAATGGATGGATGGATGGATGGATGGAGGTTTGAAAAGTTTTAAATGGTTAGGTTACATGTACATTTATTCCCCTTTGAGTGGTGGCTGGCTTAGGTCCTTCTTCAAAATTCCTCCCCGACTACAAACTGAAGACTATTGTTATTGTAGTCAAACCCACTTTTTTTAAAAAGCGATAAATAAGACATTAAACCATTAAATATCACTTTTAGTGCACACTAAAATTGATTATTTGGCACTTAGAAGCAATTAAACCATAACAGAAACTTTCTCCATGGTGTTGATGTCCTGCATTTCACGTGATATGGATCTAATGTGGCTTTGACATGTTTGTTTCCAAGGGCCCATTGTCTAAACATCCCTCCATATCCCTCACAATCTGTCATAAAAACTGATAGGGATGTTGATGCTGGACAGCGTTGGTATGGAGCACTGTATCTTCCACTTCATTGACCATTTTCCCGATCATGGACTCGGGGGCAGTTTGCTGTGTGTGAGTAGCTGCTGAATGCTCCCTGGGGGCAGGAACAGGCTCCGCTCGACTCTGAAAATAGCACTGGGGGGGAACACGAGAGTGCGGTGTGCCTGGTGCTGGAAAAACACCGGTGTTTGCGCCGGCTTGTGCGGATTGCAACACCGACCGACTGTTGCTGCGTCTCAGAAGTAATCTCAGGGCTGTCTGGCTGTGTCCGAGGGCGAGAGTTGACTTAAAAGCGAATTTCACATGCCAGGAGGAACAAACACACTTTTTATTTTATTTGTCTAAACAGGTGAAGAGACTTTTTATCCTATTGTCTGAATAAGTTACTTGAGCATTTTGTTTCTTGTCTTGATGGCACGCGGCTGCGGCGTCAGAGATTTTATGGACTGAGAAATCTCTCCTATTTTGGGGATCATGTTTTGTGAGTCTGGACCGTCTTATCTAATTGTTGCTCCCCTGAATCTCTAAAGCACTCACTGCTGGACAAATGGGGGACCTCAGGCAGACGATCGGGGTCATGTCACAGACAATGTGTCCGAATTCCACAGCTGCATCCGTGGAGGACTTAAAGGCCCCGAGTGGTGGGAAAGAGGAGAAAATGCAGATGAAGAGGGAGATTTCTCTCCTCAACGGAATCTGCCTCATAGTGGGCAACATGATAGGTTCGGGGATTTTCGTCTCGCCGAAGGGCGTCCTGATGCACAGCGCATCTTTCGGGCTGTCTCTGCTGATTTGGGCCCTGGGGGGCATCTTCTCGGTTTTCGGCGCCCTGTGCTACGCCGAGCTCGGCACCACCATCACCAAGTCTGGAGCCAGCTACGCCTACATCCTGGAGTCCTTCGGCAGCTTCCCAGCTTTCATCCGCCTGTGGACGTCCATTCTGCTCATCGAGCCGGCCAGCCAGGCGGTGATTTCACTGACCTTCGCCAACTACCTCCTGGAGGCTTTCTACCCCACCTGCCAGCCACCGTACGACGGTGTGAGGCTTCTCGCTGCAGCCTGCCTCTGTAAGAAACTCTCTTGTGTGTGGGGAAAAAGGGACTAATATGTCTTTCAAAGTCAAATGAATATCTGAGTTGTCCCTTTTAACTCTTCTCTTATCTTATCTAAATGTGTTTCCATTTAAACAAAACATTTAAAAACTGGGCTGTTGATGCAGGTTGCCAAAAAAAAAGAGGCATGAAAGTCATAATTTGCTGTGTTTAAAACTAGCCAAAGTTCTTCTTTTCATCCAGTCTTTTTTAAAGAGATTTGTCTCTTTGCACCAAAAAAAACAGCCAAGACCAGTAACAAAATGGTCATCCCAGAGACTAATGGAAACTAAATCCAAACTATAACTCCATTCATAGAGTAATAACCCCAATCTCTTCTGGATTAATTGTTTAATTTCAGTTCTATTTTCAAATTCAGTCAAACCAATAACTTTCTAGTAACACAGTGTCCATCCTTGCGCTCCTAACTGTCTTAAGCAGCATGTAAATGATCTAGTGTTACAGCCTCTAATTTTGCCTTCTGATATCAGCTTCTTACTTAGTATCTGAGCTTTATTAGGTTCACCAAAAACAAGTGGAAAACATGGTGTGGATTTCAGTGTAAGGCAGTCCCAGAAATATGTCAGGAGCGATTCAAACGAGCTCTGCTGCTGCGTTGGACATTCACACATGAATTAGTGGGCGGTATCTATAGCCAAAGTGGTACAGTTCTGAACTCCCAAGCCTCCCCTACTTTGTTTATATTATGCAATGAAAATGGGAAATGGGGGCAAAGATTTATCAGAAAAAAATACAGTAAATGAGGCAAAATCGATGTTGGTAAAATTCCTTACAACCTTAAAAATCAATATTTGGCATGAGCATATTAGACAATCCTTCTTACAAGTCTTCGGAAATAGTTTTCCTTTTTTCTGACTGGACATTCCAAAGGTCTTATTTGGAGGTTGGCTGCCTTTTGTTCAGTTCTCTGTCAAGATGATCCCACGCTGCCTCCATAATTTTGAGGTCCGGGCTCTTGAGCAGATTTAGAATAATTTTTCAGACTTTTCAGATTTTTCCTTTCCTTAAGAGTGGCTTCTTGACAGCCAAGCTTCCATTGAGGCCGTTTCTGATGAGGCTAAGGCCAACAGTACATGGATCAGATGAAGTTCCAAATCTCTCGGGTCTTGTGTTGCACCTTTTCTTGTACTGTTGTTGAAGGCATTGCCTCAATAATCTCAGTTTAAAGGATAATTATTCACGTTTCCATTCATTAGATCACTGGGCACTATATTGTGGGTGAAAAAATACTATTTTGCATCTGTCAGATTTGATCAGGTGAAAAAATGAGGACAAATTATCCATAATTTCAACAAGCCGCTGGTCACAGAGAACCTTTTTGCTATGTTGTCCATTTGTCTGGACAGAGTCTGGTGCCTGTTACATTCGAAGGAATCATGGCTCGTCTTTGTGGCAGAACAAAGAAAAAAAGACATCCCCATTGAAAAAGACCAGCAAACACCGGACTAATAATGAAAAGGAGCAGCCAATATTTTAAAAAAACAAAAGCCTGCGAGACCTTTGACACAGAAAGTCTGGAGAACTATTGTTCAGACCATTTTAAAAGATGGAATAAAAAGAAATAAGGGACGGCCGAGGACTTCTTCCTGCTGGGTAGCCTCTGTGATTAATAGCTCGTCTTTGTGCTGTGAGGCCAGCAGCAAAGCAGAAGTACTATTTAGGTGACGGAACAGCAGTGTCACGTTTCATAGCCTGTGCCCACACAAAAGTTTGTTCCCGTATTCCGGATAATTCACAAAGCAACGACTGTGGTTTAAGAGAAGCAGCACCTGAGGCCGTGCACACGTAAATTAATCTCTTTGTCCCCGTGTTCCCCCTCTGGTTGGTCCAGGTATGCTCATTTTCATCAACTGCGCCAACGTGAAGTGGGGGACTTTAGTTCAGGACGTCTTCACCTACGCTAAACTCATGGCGCTCTTCCTCATCATCGTCATTGGCATCTTGAAAGTAGCCACCAGTAAGTGAACTTAAAAGAAAAACGCGACGAGACGAGAAGGAATGGAAAAGTCGGCCCGCTTTAAACTCTGATTTCTTTTTGTTTAGAAGAAACGTATAATTTTGAGAGTTCGTTCGAGGGCTCCACCAGGGATCCGGGAGCCATAGCGTTGGCCCTCTACTCGGCCCTCTTCTCCTACTCCGGCTGGGACACGCTCAACTTTGTCACTGAGGAAATTCAGAATCCCGAGAGGTGATCCAAGCAGACATATTCACTCAGATATATACTCCCCACACTTTCCCTTTTGGCTCACTGCTGAGGTAGATTTGCTCCCAGTTCTGCTGTTAATATTTGACAGTCGTACTGATGTTTAACTCAGAATCAAACATGCCCCAAATACCTCATAGCTCCTTAAATACGACAATGCAGTTGATAAGGATTCTATCAATTTTATTACACTGAGACATGAAACCCTTTTAAAAACACATGAACTCCTGAAATATGAAACTAATATACACCATAGTTTCAATGGAAGTTGCTATGATATGCATCTTTATATATAGCACTCTTTATGAAATTGGACTGAATTCTTTTCTGTGTCTAGTTTAGCCCACTTAGATTTTTTTACCTCCTTGGTGAAGGACATAGTCTGTAAGATAGAGCTGATTTTATGACTGCCAAGTTAGTAAGTTGAGTTTCTTCACCTCTTCCTACGCAAACAAAGTTTTAGGCCAGATCATAAACAATATTTGGATAAAAAACTATCCTGAGTAACGTTACTGGCTAAACCTACCCAGGAGAAGTAGTTTGTTTTGGTAGAACGTTCCTGTCATTGAATGACCACAATCAAAGGATCTAATCCCCAATGCCCTCAATCACCACCTTCCATCTTAGGAATACCTTATGGTAATTTAATAGAAACTTTAAACTTTATTGAAAAAGAAAGGCAGTGTTTTATTCCTTTATTCTGACCTAAATGGTCCATTAGTGCTCATCTAAAATAGCATTTCAGACACGCTCACAAGTCACGTTGCACAGCTTAGCGCAAATTCTTGATGGATTTGAAGATCTATTCTTTTTTCTTTATATTCAGTTATTGTTCAAGTCCATTTTCTTAGTCTGTCATTTGTTTGTCGTATGTCTTTTGGGAGTCACTAACTGCTCTGCATGGCTATTCTTGTAGGAACCTACCTCTGGCCATTGCTGTCTCTATGCCCATCGTGACCATCATCTATCTGCTGACTAACGTGGCGTACTATGTGGTTCTAGACATGCCCTCCCTGCTGGCCAGTGATGCTGTAGCTGTGGTAAGAGAACATCATGGCCATCTGCTGCTAAATATAGCTCAGTTCTAGGTAGGGGTGGTTGACCCAAGATATTTAACCCCCTCGCGATGAGAACAGGTCTGCTAAAATTAAAGCAATGTTCCTCGGATCTTAGTCTGTGGGTAAACCTTGCAAATATGACCCCGCAGACATTTGGAAATGCGGTGCTGGGTCCCTTTAAATGGATCATTCCTATTGCAGTGGCCATGTCCTGCTACGGAGGACTCAACGCTTCCATCATCGCTGCCTCTCGGTAATAACAGATTGAGCCCGTTTTTCTGCTCAATTGTCGAGATTTCCAAATAACCTTGCTGACTATCTGTCACGACAGGTTGTTTTTCGTCGGAGCCAGAGAGGGCCACCTCCCTGACAGCCTGAGCCTGATTCACCTGAAGCGATACACTCCCATCCCTGCTCTCCTGTTCAATGTGAGCAAAGCCAGTCCGATGTCCAAAGCTAAGCACGGGCGGATGCAACACTTCCAGTGGCGGACCGTGCATTTCACACCTAGGCCTTCAGTAGTGCTCCGTCTGAATCAATTCACCCCTCAATAACTATTTTATGGTTATAGTAATCATCTTATTATGTAGAAATACAGTAGTGAGGTCCCGATCCAGCTTTTTGTATTAAAGTCTAAAGCTATTTATCTACTTATTTAGTTGTCAGACTCATGTTGAACAGGGATTTACTCTTGTAACAACTTAAAGTTTAGGACACAGACCTGTGGGTTAGGAGATGCTGATGCTCGTGTGGGATCGGACTCTTAAAAAAAATGGATCTGGAGTTTTAAAAATGGTCTTGACATTAAATCCGCCACCAAATCATAAAATAGCTATTACACCAACACAACTATATTTAGTTTTTTTTGCTAGCTTTGCCGCTGATTGGATATCTGACCATCCAATCAGCGGGTGTGAATACTGTGACGTTGCCTAAGGCCTTCTAGAAGGCCCTGGTGTCACCAACTTAAAATCCGATTGGTTAAAGCAACAGTGTACTCGACATGTATTTTCAGTTGGGGGGGCCTGCAGAACGGATTGTGAAGGCCTCCAGGCAGACATCTTTGACTTTGGCCCTGCCTAGCGACAAATGATGGCTGAAATGTGATTGATTAAATGCTTTTGTATGAAAATGCATGTCTGGAAGCAGCGCAACCAGGGGAAAAGCTATGAAAGGAAGTGGACAGACTATTTAGAGATATTTAATAAGTTTCCATGCACAAAAGAGAAGGCCTTGCAGAGAAGGCCTTGCAGGCCCTGACGGCCCATCACTGAACACTTCTTTAGCTGTGCTGTGTGCTTGCAGGGGCTGATGGGCCTGATCTTCCTGTGCGTGGAGGATGTGTTTCAGCTCATCAACTATTTCAGCTTCAGTTACTGGCTCTATGTGGGGCTCTCCGTGGCCGGCCTCATCCACCTCCGCATCACGCAGCCAGACAGACACAGGCCCGTAAAGGTGAGGCTATTCTCACTTATCCGATTCATACGGTTATTTGTAGAACATGCGTTTATAGTCCGACGTAAGCTTCTGCTCATGTCTGACCATAAATGGAACTGCACAGCACTGTGCATTTATAGTAGGCACAGAATAACCCGTTCAGAGGTTTGTCATTTACAGTATTGATGCAATATGCAATCAGTTGCTGTGCTAAAAAGGGAAGTTTGTGTTCAGGAATAACAATGTATGTCAGTTGTAATGTATGTCATTAATCTTATGACCAGAGCTGCCCTCAGATAAAATACAGCTGGAAAAGACCAGGAGGGGATTTCAACATGAGACTATTTGATTTTGATTGCAGGATAGGGCAAAGGATACACAAAGAGAAATATTCACAATCCAACATTTCTTTTTGTTTTGGTCTTTCTTTAAGTTCCATGTTTATTGGACTCTCATACACCCACCATCAAGGGCGTCGGAGTCAGCATTAACAGTGAAAAAAATAAATCTCCTAACCCTCCAAACCGGAGTACAGATAAAGGTTTGGGTCATTTTAAGATCTTCTGCAAAGTAACATGAAATAGAGCAACATTAAATCCATAAGGGTCTTTAAAATCTTGAAAGTTTAAGGTACTTCAACAAAGATGCAATCGTAGAAGTTAAAAAGTAGCTGAAGAAGCTGCAAAGCGACATAGTACCAACAGTTTGTCCTCAATATCACTTTAAGATGGACACTTTGTAGAAAAGTCCAAATGTTGCATCTTTTTAGACTATTTTTAGTGTCTTCTGTGCTTGTTTGGTCGTTTATGTTGTCGGGTGTTTTAGTTAGTGGATTCTTCCTGATTCCTGTGTTCTTATATTGGTTTTTGTTTTCTGTTTTCTGAACCCTGTCACTATTTTTTCCGTGAATCTCCTGTCACCGTTCTCTTTCGATTTTCATTGTTGGTCTTTTTCGTTTCATGGTTTTGCAGTTTAATTGGTACTCCTTTCTGTTTTGGAAATATTTTGAAAATTTCTGTTTCTATATTTTTTGGTTTTGTTTTCTTTGACATCAACTGTCACATTTCTGTGACAGTTTTGAACTTTGAGTTGCTTCCAAAAATCGCCACATGAAGAGCAAAGCCAAAATAATTGGCATGATCCTAAAAATTTCAAATTGGTACCGGCATCATTCTGTGTCATTCTGCTCTGAGGAATGACCAAAGTGTAACTTGGCTTCATTAGCTAACTTGAAAAAATGAATAAATACAAAATGAGTTAGGGTTTAGTTTTCATTTGTTTCTTTTTCTATTTTCCAATGTTAAGTTCTAAATTCATTTATTGTTTCATAATAGTTTTCCGCATGTTAAGTCCGGACCAACTCAGTAATAGTTCCCATACCAAAATGGACCAAACGTCTCTAATTATTTAAAAAATTGGGGAGTATCAGATCAAATTAGGCTATTCGATTCGAATCAATGAGTTAGTATTTTTGTTTGGGTAACCAGCTTGATTAAGAAGTTTGATGGATTCACATATCCTGATTTTGAACGTAACGTTTGGAGCAATGCTTTCCTTTTTCTTTTTTTTTACTCAAGGCAAATGCAGTAACTCCAAAACAACATCTATAATGTGTGCTTTCTTGTCTCCACAGTTGACCCTGTTCTTCCCTTTCGTCTACTGTGTGTGCAGCCTGTTCTTGGTCATCGTCCCTCTGTATGGAGACACCATCAACTCCCTCATAGGAATTGGAATTGCGCTTTCTGGAGTGCCAGTTTATTATGTGGCCATTTACCTGCCTGAGGAGAGGAGGCCCCGGTTTATACGCAAACTAAACGGTAAGACTTTGGCTCTAGTGGGCGTGAGAGAACATTTCTTACGTCTTTTCTCGTCGTTATCTGTTAATTGCTGTCACGTCTCTTTCGAACTTGCAAAGAGGAAGTGAGCAAAGGTGCGCCACTTGCTGGGTTTGGGATTCTACTAGACTCACCAAGAGCCTCATCTCATCAGTCTCTCTCCATCTTTCACCCATGTCTCCCTCTCCCACCCCTTTTTCTATCTCCAGACTTTGCCACCAGATATAGTCAGATATTGCTCTACTGCTGTCTGACTGAGTATGACTATGAGACCGAAGCTCAAGCAGGAGGTAAAACCCAGTGATCAGCGGGCAAAAACCCCGTGGTGCATCAGACTGCTTCTGCGAGGACAGAGCAGAGAGACACAGGCTCACAGCGTCTGTGAAGGACGACTTCCGCCGGGTCAAGTTTTAAAAAAAGCAAAGGCACGACAACGCAAAGGGACTGCAGAGGGACACCGCTGCTGTCGTCCGTATGTAGGACAGAAGATTTGAGGATATGAATAATAAACGTGGTCAAAGCAGATGCTGCAATGTGTGGATGTAAACCGTCTTTTGGGTTTCTTCCATTTTAAAAACACTTTACAAAATGGCTTCAATGTGTTCATGTCTTCAATTTGATAATTAAATGTTCTAAATGGTGACCTTTTTTACAGTTTGATTACTTATTAATGTACCCATATTTGTCCAAAAGTAAAACACCACACTACTTTAGTTTTTGGCTTTTTTTGTGTGTGTTCATTGAGTTTGTATGTCTTTTTTTTTTTTTTTTTTTTGCAAAAACTTCATGTGAAAAGTGAGTTGAGCTTAGATGGATTATTTTCAAGCATCTCAACTAGGATGATTCTCTATCTGCATTGTACTGCGTTTTGACAAAAGAGCTTTACACAAAATACTTCGGGTTAGTTTCCCTGCTTCTTCATCCATCAGCGTTTTGCTCTCCATCCGCTAGCCAGCTCCACCTGCCTGAAAGGGAAAACAGCCTGTGTGCAGAACCAAGCTGCTGCTCTTTCCTAATGTTCTATCTGCAGATGGCACAGGTTTGTCTGCCCCTCTGACATGTAGATCAAATGTTAATGTACTAGTTGTACATTTATGACTTTTATTTGATTCAGTGGGCAGCTTTTGGTCTGTAGAATTCTATCATTTGAAGGATAAAGATAACTTATTCCATCCTGGGAATGGAACAGGCTGAAATGCTCACAAAAAAATCACTGGGCCACAGTTTTTATATATATAAAATATATTTATATTTTATATATATATAGATAACAACATTGGGCGGCACGGTGGTGTGGTGGTTAGCACTCTCGCCTCCCAGCAAGAGGGTTCTGGGTTCGAATCCCGGGGGAACCAGGACCTTTCTGGGTGGAGTTTGCATGTTCTCCCTGTGTCTGCGTGGGTTCTCTCCGGGTTCTCCGGCTTCCTCCCACAGTCCAAAAACCTGCATGTTAGGCTGATTGGAGATTGGGGAAATTGCCCTTAGGAGTGAATGTGAGTGTGAGTGGTTGTTTGTCCTTGTATGTCCTGTGTGTTGCCCTGCGATGGACTGGCGGACTGTCCAGGGTGTACCCTGCCTCTTGCCCGTTGACCACTGGGATAGGCTCCAGTTCCCCCCGCGACCCCATGAGGGAATAAGCGGTATTGATAATGGATGGATGGATGGATAGATAACAACATCATCAATATGTGTTTTTTCTCACACAGACAGATTTTTTTCATATTTATCATATTTTCCACGAAGCACAAAATGGAGCTGGGTGAAAAACCTTTTTTCTAAATTGGGACAGAATTTGAATCTGTTGTGAACATATTTGTCCATTTTGTTCAATTCTTTCTATTTAACCATATTTTCCACGTTGTTTGTTTGCTAACTTCCGTCTCACAGAACTCTGAACAGCATTTAATGTTTTTTCTGGCTTTCTCAGGACAGCCGACCACTTCTAAAAGTGTTTCTGCAACTCATGCAGGTTTGGTCAGAATCGCTCAAAATAATTTCACAGACTTATGAAGTGTTGACAAGAGGTGGTATTTGCTATGAAGTCAATATCAGGTCATACTTTATTCAATTTGAGGCAGAAACTGTTGCACACTACTGTGTCCTGTGTTCTGTGTAGAACTGACTGTATCATGGACTCAAAATAAAATCCTTTTTTGTTAAAAAAAAACAACAAACTTTAGCAGTTTTATCGAGTAAACCTTATTGTCCATCATCATGTGTTTTTGAGTTTGGATTTGTGTCAGACTTGTTTACAGAGATCATTATTATACATGCCACCTTTTAATATTCAGGTTCAGCTATTGAGGACCGTAGCTTTAAGATTGATTCACTTTTATTTCACCGTATACATGCAAAACAAATTTGTTGTTTCTTATACCTGAAACTGAGATGATATTTTTACATTCATGTTGTTCCAGAGGAGACTTTTGGAGCACCCTATTCTCTCAGGACAGGGTGCAGTTAACAACATCAAATCCAGGACAGATCCACTTGTTGCTGAACTGCCTGTATCCTTCAGCATCGACCAGCTCGCTGCCTGGATGAAGATAAAAAAAAATCCAGCATTGGTCGTATCAAGTCATTACAGCAAAGAATGTGAAAAATGAGAACAGAAAACGAGCGTCTTCACCATCCATCAGGTTCTGCAGGCTGCAGAAGTTTGTGCTGTTGTCAGACGGATCTTTGGAGAACTCGGACACAGCGTCGCCCTGTTCGGGGAAAACGGGAGGAGGAGCAGAGAAAGATACAGTTAATCAGAAAGGAACAACCGTGAGGAACGTTGGGAGTTCTGATTTTCCGCTTTAAAGTTCCTTGAAGCGGATAGAAAAGCGAAACTCTTTTGTGTGAAACAACATCAGACACGCATTTTCTTTCAACTTGCTCAACCTGTTTGTGCATATTTCCCATCAAGAATGTTAACAGGTTACTGAAATCCATTCTCTAAAATATTCCTGACAATTTCAAGAGCTGATTTGTATACGGTACAAGTTGTAGCAACTGAACTGGAAGATATTTAGCTTGTAAGCCAGTATTAAAAAATTTTTGAATTCCAACCCAAATTCCAAGGAAATTATGATATAGGGGCGATGATCTATTGAAAATTTTAAAAACAATTATGTAAATACAGTAAATAAAAGCAGAAAATGGGTTAAATGTCGGTAGCTAGTCTGACCGCATTTATTTACTCTCAGACAAACTTTCTTCTTTTTTTTTTCTATTTATCCATCCATTGTCTTTACCTACAGGGACCTGAAGCCTCCAGTAACCCGGACAGGTTACCAGTCCTCACAAAGACAAAAGAAACATCTAAACATGCACTCACACTCTCTCCTCACCTATTAACCTGACATACTTGACGGTTGCCCACCCTGGGCCATGGTTCTGCTCGAGGTTTCTGCCTCTTAAAAGTTTTTTAGAAATAGTTTTTCCTTGCCTGTGTCGCCTAGTGCTTGCTATTGATGGGAATTGTTGGGCTTCAGTTAATAACTTGGTCTGAAGTGCTCTTTTTGGAACGCGCTGTGAGATAACTGTTGTTGTGATTTGGCGCTATATAGATAGAATTTAACTGAATGCTTCCCACCTTTTGGAAAGTGGCAAGTATTTCTATCCAGCAGTCTTCAGGAATAGTTCCCCAGGCTTCTTGAAGGACATTCCAAAGCTCTTCTTTGGATGTTGGCTGCTTTTAGTTCTGCTCTCTGTCAATATGTTCCCACACTCTTTCAATAATGCTGAAATCAGGGGTCTGGGGTGGGTTATCCTCCCATGCGAGCTGTTACCGGTTACCAGTTAAGCATAACTCAAGCCTTTGTATCCCTGTGAGAGCCACTTCACTTTCAGACTGTTTCTAATGAGATGTCATGGACCTCTCCAGTCATGTGTTAGCTGTTTGATGGAATTTTCGCGGTTTATTCAGGATATTTACTGTTCTGATGTTGTAAACTGTCTACGTTTACAGTTTATTCTGTTGACCTTAGTTGGAATACTCTGTATAGCACACCGAAATATGCCACATGGAAATGAGAGAGAGAGAAAAAAAAACATTGGAATGCCTTCAGAAATCTTGGAAAACTATTGATCAAGGCCAGAGTGGGTGATCACGAGACAGTCTATCTCACACATCTGCCATACACTTTGAAGTGAGGCTAGCTGAGAGCTAAAAGCTGCCAATGTTTCCCCAAAAGCCGTCCAATGAAGAGTCACACTTACAGTTACTTTGCAAATAGTGGACTGCTCGAAAAGGAACTGGAGGTTGTTCACTTTCTTTGTTCTTGGAGACGTGTGCGTTGCCTTGATCAGATACGGAGCTGAAGACACAAGCTGTAAAAAGCAGAGATCACATTTAGTCAGGGCTGATCGGTGGCTCTCACCATGCTCATTCTGAACCCTGTTTATCAGATGAAGCAGCTACCAAAGTAGAGGAAAAATTGCATTTTTTACAGGTGCAGAAATAATTGTTTTCTCAGATCTAATTATTGTTAGTACAATAATATTCCACAGAGTCACATATAATAATAATAAATAATAATAAATAATAAATAATAATAATGAAGCCTTTAGCTTTATTGTGACCAATTTGTAAAAAAACGTATTTTTGTTTATTTGAAATCATGTTTTCACCTATCCACACAGAGTACTTGAAATCCCAAAATGGGAACACAATAATCACTCGTTCCGGACTTAATTGACTTTACTTTCCTGACCTCGTATGAGCACTTCTCTCCCGTATGTGCGCAGCTTTGGCTGATCTGCCATGCCTGGATCTGTCTCAGAAGCTTTCCACCCACATCTTCACACGTGATGCCAAACAACCTGAAAAGCAGCAAGTGTCAGCTCAGATCATGTTTACCTTTAGGCTTTACCAGGATTAAAAAAGATTGACAACATCTGAGCAAACATTTTCTTAGAATATTTCTCAGGACAAATCATCACTGCATGGATCTTTAAATTAAATTGTGCCTTGACACTTCTTTTTCTTCAGATCATGCAACCAAACAACAAAAGACAACTCATCCTGTCAAGTTTTGCGGCAAATTCTGTGAACACATGTAAATCAGGGACATATGTGATATATCAGAAAACACAGACTGGCTCGGGTTAATCAAGTCTTTAAACGGTATCGTGCAAAAGGGTTCGGTAGAGAGCCGCGTTACCATTTTATCTTGCATTGAGCGGTGCGGTCGGCGAGACAGATGCTGACCGTTGCCCCCACAACAAGAGCTGCAGAAAAAAAGAGAAATCTCAAGTCCATTCCGACGGATTCTATAGAGGTCCAGAGGTCCTGGATCCAGCAAGCTGCCAGGTGTGAGGGGTAAATCTGGAGGTCTTGATCTGCCCCGAGGACTTAAAACAGCTGGAGGGTCACGTGGAAGACTGGAACAGGGGGCAGTACATCGATTAACATGGTGTGCAGCATGTGAGAGGGAGGCAAATGAGAGGGTATAGAAGCATGTACCTTTTACGACAGTTGTATAAGGGCCGGTTTTGTGACATCAAGTGTTTTCGACGTTCAAATATTGTTGATTTTCTTCATAATTCAAGTGTACCATCAGTAGGTATAGATGCAGATAATATTGGAGCAGTTATGTGGATCAGTTTGTTGAACATGAAGTATTAGTGGAGATAAGACTGGGGAGTGGAGAGTTGAGATGGATACATCTGTGTGGGGAACCGGTGTTAAAGGAAAAAGAATAAAAGAACACATATATCAGAGAAATATGAGGAAAACATTAGAAATTTAAAGGCAAAAGCACAAAACAAACCGCTGATCAAAAAGAACACTAGAACCAAAAAATTCCAAAATAACCTAGATAGCCCAGGACTTGAGTATTGTGGACTTCAAGTGCAGCATTTTTGGACAATTCAAGGGAAAAGTACTGTATAGAATGCAAAACAACAGCAAATGATTTGTTAAAACCCTTAGCCTTGGTTGTCCCAGCTCTGTAATCTGAAAAGAAGGTACTAGAATGAGTGTTGCAACAGGCAAAGGAAGTACTGGCAAGGTCAGTTGGGGGCTTTAGGGACGTGCCAGTTCAATTTTCCAGTGAGAGGACGAGGCTCGCTGCCGTTTGTAGGAGCACCTCACAGCCACATGATGGCTCCAAAGCAGTGCTTACTTCAGGCAAACTTCAAACTAATGCCTCTCGTCTCAACACACACACTTACAATACACCACTCACAATTTAAAGTGACTAAAACCTATGCTAATATATTCCTCAACCCAAATCTTATTAAAAGCCTCACATTAACAGAACGGGGGTTTGAAAATAGTCTATTTTCCTGGTTATTAACTATGAACTCAAACAATATGTGTCGCCTATGCCGAATCCAAATCCATATTTTCCCAGTTTACAGTCACTTCGTCACTGAAGCCAAACACTGTTTTGAGCATAGTGAGAACACACATAATTCTTCTCTTTGTTCCAGCGCAAAGTGAATGTCTTTTCCGGTTTGTGCAGTGTGTGGTGCAGAGGCTTTAAAGGCAGTTTTCACACCCGGACCAGCATCCGTTTCACTTACTCTGGACCTCTTGGGTCCAGCACAGTCAAAACCATTGGCACAGTCAGTCACAGGCGCATTCGTCAGCCTCTTTTTTACATCTACCTAAATGTGTGACCTTTCTTTTCTTTCTTAGTGTTCAGCAGCTGCACTTTTGTCCGGATTCTTTAACTTTAATGTTTCCCATTTTGATTACTGATCCTAATTTCCAACCACCAAAACTGCCCATGGGTGGGGACAGCAGGGGGCTCCAGCGTTCTCAACATTGGAATATTTCCTGCCCCACGTAATTTTCAGATTTTGTGAGCAAGAATCCTGCTGCATACAGGAACAGATGCCGGTCCTGGCTGCGCAATGCTGTTTCTGGGTCCTCTGATCCAGGACCAGGACACAGAGTTCAGGGTCAGCGGACACGGAAGGGAGGAAAATGCTCGACAAGAAGAGGTGCATCAAGGACCTGTTGTGGATGAGGCGTTGAGGTCTGTGCTTATAATGTGAGAAGTTTTTTCTTTGTATCTTTCCCTTCACTTCGATGAAACCATCCAAACAATAACATTTCTCCAACTATCTCAGAAATGGAGCTTAGGTATCTCCAGAAGATGCAGATCAAAGCAAAGGTGGAAGAGCTGGGGATGGACGAAGTCAAGTGGGACCTCTGATCCGAAAACATGAAAGAAAGTGCCCGGAAAATCTGAGCATTCTCTAACAAAATTCATATAGTCTTTATCGAAGATTAGAAGCAATTATTTAAAAAACAAAACAAATAGAAAAGTCTCTGAAAGTCTCTCTACAGCTTTTAATCAAAAGTAAAATAGTCCCTTCTCTTACTTTCCAACAGAGAAATTCTGGTTACCATATTTTGGCCACGTCTGCCATTGTGTCACCACGTATTTCCAATCGGGATGTTCAGGAGGAACCTCTGTTTCTTTTCATTTGTCTGAACCGTGCTGTCAAGATATGCACCACACAGGGAGTAGGCTGTTTTTTTTTTCCATCCATCATCCATCCATCCATCCATCCATCTATTTTCGTCCACTCATAGAAGGTCGGGCTGTGGAAGCAACAGGTTCCGGAGGGAAAATCAGACATTCCTCTCCACAGAAACTCTGCCCTGGGAGAGTCTGCTGGAACCAGGGAGATGAGAGGTGGCTCGGACAAGATAGGGAGAGAATAAATAAAATACATTTAGGAGACTTGCTTCCTGCTTGAGAGACAAAGGCGCAAACAGGCAGAGCTTTTCATAAGCCATTGTTTGTTGCAAAAGGGGTCAAACAAGTGGAACAAAGAGTAGTTTTTCCTTTGGTTGTGACATCTTGTGGCTAGAATTTGAACTGCAGCGTGGACGACGATGATTGATTTGAGGCCTTGTTTAGACATAAACTGAAATCACATTTAGTGTAAACTGAAATTAAGATTATTTTTGATGTATTTGAAGTGGTTTAGATTCAAGAACTGAAAATGTGTGAGAAATTTTAACTTCGGGTGGCGTCAGAGTTGTTCTGTATTTGTTAGTGTCAGTGTTTCTATTATAATTTCCTTAGTGTAAACAAGAGAGGGACTTAATCTTAACGGTTCCATTCAGAGGGCTTCAAACCGCTATAGTTTATATCGTTTTGTGTAAGTATTTATTGTTAGGGTGCTCAATGAGTATTCAAGCCCCTTCCCATCCCATGACCTCACTAGGAATAAGCACTATAGATAATGGAGGGTTAGAATAACTCATGATGGGAGTGCTCAGGACCTCATTTGGCCACTTTGACTTTTGCGCGTATGGTCACAAGTTGGAAATGTTGACGTGTTCTCCCGGCAACCTTTGTTTGCCTTCTCCCACAGTCCCGTATTCATATCCATGTCTAGTGAGAAGCTCCAGTTTCACTTTTTTTTTTTTTTTTTTTACATCCCAGAAATAAGTACGCCCTCTGACAATTTCAAGGTTTTACAAATCAGGACAGGGGGTGGGGTGAGGGATCTGATCCTCACTGGTTTTCAGGAAAATTCGGCCTAAAATGAAGAATACCCCAAGAGACACGTAAACATTTCCAGTTCCGTCAGTCAGTTTGAATGAAAATGAAGCTGGACACGACACTTTTCTGTAAGCTTTTTAATGATTTGTTTACAGAGATCAGCAATTCTCCATTATCTTTGGCATCCTACACCCCTCCACCACATATCACACCCTGTCATCACCCATTTAACAAAAGAAAATCAACAGTTTAATTCAAATTCAACAATATGCCAGTGTTCCAAATGACAGGCTCTCAATATTCAGACTCTCTTAATGCTCTTTAAAGTCAGAGTGAAGTTGGTGTTTGGTTGTAACTGCCGGATTAAGTCACCGATCTGGAAGACACAGAATCTTAAAGTCATTCAAACACACGCGACGAAAGATTGTAATCCCAGACATCCTGAAAGTCTTTGTGGACTTGGTTTACGACTTACCGCGGTTATGACCGGTTGAACTGTAGTTTCATTCAGCATGTGTTGAGATATAACGGATGCCTGAAGGATGGCCACGACTGCAAGAAAAATACAATGGAGAATATAGATTACATTTTAAAAACTCAGTAAGGAGAATTTATACCTTCAGATCATCTTCTTTAAGGTGGGCTCACCATTGTCTGCTGGTTTATCAGGACGCAGGGCCGGTGTTAGCGTTGCCTCACTTGACTGAGTGAGGAAAGTGGCAGTCTGGGTCGGTTCTTCTGTGTCAGACAATGAAACAAAAAAATGTTTAGGAGACACCGATCGCCTTTTAAAACGCACCAGAGAGCGCATGTCAATGCGGTGGTCCTTTTTAAAATTGTCCAACGACCCTGTTTCCGGTTCACTTACGTGTCTGTGCAGCGCTCGAAGCCAAACAGCTGAAAAACAGGAGTAGGAGCAACATGTTGAAGCTTGTTTCCACAGGAAAAAAAAGCGGGGAATCCAACGAAGGAGAAGTGATCTCGCTGTCCTTGCAGAGCCTCTGGCTACTTTGGCTCTGAACAAGGAAATAATACCCCCATTAAGGGTGTGGTGTGTACACAACAAAGCAGAATTTCCTCAAAGACAGGTCTGAATGGGCACAATTCAAGGGGAGATTGAGGGCAAACAATAGCCTTCTGTGATTCATGCAAGAAAGATAGGTTAACATTAACCAGAGGCAACTGAAGTCAAATGAATTGACTAAAAATAAATAAATAAATAAATACAAATCTGAAATTCAGAGATTGACCTGAAAAAATACAACAGTTGGAAGTGTCTATAAGGTTTTCATATCCCTTGTGAGTGTTAGCTATTTGTTGAAATATAACAATGTACAAAGTAATGGAAACTTACGGAAGTGAAATGGAAAATAAAAATTATTAATAGTTAAAAACAGTGGTATTTGACCCCATTTGCTTCAGATCCCTTTATTAGGTTCTGTGGATGTTAGGTACGTTCAAAAGTCTCATATTTGGGTCCACCCCTGGGAATCAGGTGTCGCATGATTTCATTCTGTTTACACTTGCGAAAAAGTTCTAGCGTCTGCAGGGTCACCAATGAAACATAACAAGGTGACCAGGGAGAGTTCAAAATATATATCATCTCAAAAAGTACATGCGGGTCTGTGCTATGAAGAGCTAGTAAATCAAATGCTAAAAGTTACACAATAAAGGAAAAATTTAAAAGTGACCACAACCAAAACGGTGTAGGCAACTCAAATTCACTAACCAAACAAAGTGGTCGGTCGGCGTTAGCAGAAAAGAAAGACACTCAGGTCTGCAGACACAA